CATTGAATCATGAAATCCTAGTGACGAGAAAGGATTTGACCTGTATTACTAAAATAAACCCCAACTTGCCTTCCCCCCAGCGGAGGAAAATGAAACAAATGAGTTCGTTAATAAATGACTATACACCCAAAGGGTAAAATATAATCTCAATTTACATCTATAGTAATAGAAATAAGGAGCACAAAAAAAAATAATAATAAATAAATAAATAAAGGCTAAAGGAAGAAACTGTAAAATGCGACAGTTTATTAGTAATATATTAAAGAAGCCGACCTCTTTCTTTGAGCAGTCTTAGTCGTGATTCATATATTTTGTGAATGACGCTATCAAGATAACCTCAATCCCTGTTATTGCTGAAAACTAATCATACACCATCATATTCGAACCTATCCGATTATGAAGGCCAATGAAAGGCTCTTTCCATGCTGCATTTTTCACCTATTTGTGAGCCATCCCCCCTAGTGTACATTGTGCACATCCATCTAAATAAAAAGTTTGCTCAATCTAACATGAAGACTGACATCTGCCAGCTAGCTCTACCTTGAAAGGCTAGCAATGATGCCGGAAAACTACTTCAGGAGTACTGAGGACCCCCCAAGTTCTCTTTGAGACCTGCAAACTGAGGCATGTTTCTTAGAATAGAATGTTAAAGTTAGTACACACATGTTAGCTGCCCAAAAATAAAATGTATTTATCATTTATGTATGCCTGAAAATGTTGTGGAGAGAGTAAATTGTTCTCAACTTCGACGGTAGTTGAAGCTTTGGAGTAAAATCCAACTATCAAATCTTTAAGAAATAGGAGCAGTACACTTCTGAATATGCTTTGACATATCATTTGTTGACTGAGGCTTCTATATTTTAATTGATAGACAGAAGAAAAGAGGGGTTTACACAACCAATGATGTAAGAGGCTTCAGATTTTGTTCATTGACAGGCAAGCAATATATACTTCTGAGAGTTAAAAGAAAATAAGAAAGGATGCATTTGCTTGCTGGAGATCTAGAAAAGATCAATGCCACGATTGGGATAAACTTTGCTTTCTGGAGATCTAGAAAAGATCAAACAAAGCCATAATTTGAATGAACCTTTTATATCATTAAGGGCATATAAAAAAGCAAACAAGTTATTGCAACTAGTCTATGAGTCCGCAGATGAATAGTTGATGCAACACTCAAAGTATATTTGAGGCAAAAAATGAATTAAATTAATTAGGGTTTCTTTAATTCTAGTTTGCGTTAGATTATGATTATTTCCTCAGTTTTCTATTTAGATTCGATTTGATCATAGTTCAGGATTGCTTAAACCCTTATAACTAGAGGGTTAACCCTTTGTTTTAATCTCACTTTGATTATTGAATACAATTACTAATGCTCTCTGATTTCTCTTCTCTCTCCCCCAAATTGTGCACAATTGTCATAAATTGCTTATTGTGAATTTCATTTAAGAACTTTTTATTATCATTACGCCAATAATACTTTACATAATCTCTTCGCTGTCACCATGTGACTTGGCAGTAAAAGGAACAACATAAAGTATATCCCCACAGCATAGACAAATTAATAGTCTATTTCAGAGTAGAATTGCAGTTCACGGCTGCATTCAGTCTCCTTTCACAGCAATGAGCCAGAAAACTAGTAAGTTATTGGCAGATCAAGTGGAGAAGGAAGTAATGGAAGACTTGAATTCGACAAGGTATCAACACAGTCATACACTCCATAGATCTATAACATCTAGAAGTACCGCAATGCTTTTTCTTTTCATAGTCCGGCCACTTTCCTCACCCTTTTGCTTACTCAATGCTAGTATAATCATTTCAAGCTACTTCACAGTTCTCACTAAAGTTAAGCAGATAGCAGTATCAACAACCTAATTCTCAGCCTCGGTTTTTTCCCAGTGCAAAGCTATTTTCATGAGAAATCCAATGATAGGCATCATAGAAATTCAATCACATGATAACTTGAAAGCAGAAAGAAGGTCAATATCAACTCAAAACAACGACCAAATTTGCAGTCACCTAATACATTGGAATTGGATAAGTTCGGCATTGGATCAAGAAATCTTAAGTGACCAGAAAGGATCTAATCTGTATCCCATAAATAATAGTGAAATGGGGATGTAGATCAATGGCAATGCACACTGAAGCAAATGTGCCTTCTACATTTTTTACTTTCTCAGTGGTTGGTTCTGGCATGTTTGGAGCCATTGGACGGTTATGGTACACGAGGTTTGTGCAAAGCAAAACAAAATAGAATAAAAAAATAATGCACTTGAATCACCTTGATATAGTGACGCAGGAGCGTAACAAATTGATAATGAACAATTGAAAAGAAAAAGGAACAAAGAAAGAGAAAAGAGTCCAAGAAGAGAAGAAGAATTGAGGGTAAAGAGAAAATCAGTTTTTATTCATATAATCACCTCAAGAATCCATGTCTATATAAGCCACACATCGAAAACTTATACATTCAATGTGGGATCCAAGTCCTATAACTTACAATGGAAACCATGACAAACCACCACGCTCCACGATTCTTGCGCCCACATCGGATTGGTTCACACTAGTCCATGACTAGTTCCAAACGAACACTGCTATGCTGACGTCACCATCCACGCCACTCGATTCCAACCGAGAGAGATTGTACCTGCTCTGATATTATTGTTATAGAACTTGAGAGAATCATATCTCAAAAGCTAGCAATTGATATTGGAGAGTTCAAATATATATAAATCACACACCAAAAGCTCATACTTTCGATATAGGATCCAAGACCCATAACTTACAATGGGATTTATGACAATCTATTACAATGAATAAGTCCGAGCAACTAATTTAAAAAAAAAAAAAAATCTTAGAAGCTAAAACTTTTTCAAATTATTAAATCTAATCTAAACAATCATAATTTGAATCAAACTCTTTTTTAAAATCCTACCTAAAATTGTATCTCTATCTCCATCATAGAGTCCCTAAACTCCCCCTCTCACTCTCTCTCCGCGGACCTTCCAAACTCTTCAATTAGACCATTCAAATGTGAGACAAGTCTTTACTATAATAAAGAAAAAAAAAGGAAAATATATTGTCCAGTGATGATTGGCTCTTCTAGTTAAAATTGGTACAAATTCCGTTGGTTCATGGTGTGATGGCTCATGCGTGCTTGCAAAAAATTTATTCACAAAGTTTCATGTTTTTATCAATAATTAAAAAAGAGACGTTACAGAACAAAACAAAATAGAAAAAGTGTGCTGTTGCACAAGACTACAATGGTGGGGCCATTTTTACCTATGAGCTTGTGAAGTTATAAGTCCTAACCTGGCAATGTAGAACACCTCAAAATGTAGTTATTCTTCAAACCTATTAGCTTTACATTCTCATCCATTGTCTACCCATACAAATATGAAGTGACTTAGAGAGAAAGTCCATACTCAAAGGTGTAAAACAAGAAGGATGCTCAATCAATTTGTCAAGAAATATAAATTGTATTATATTGTCTTGTTAATATTACAATGTAGAAGACCTTATTTATAGGGTTACAAATAACTGTAGAAGGAAATAAATATAAAAGGAAAGATTACATAACCAACTACTAAGGAAAGTAAACCTACACTAAAAGGAAAGTAAATATAATCGCAATCTTTGACGATCTCTGTAATCTTATTCAATATCCTTAACATCCCCCCTCAAATTGATGCTGGTAAAAGCATCAATTTGCAATCATGAACTGATAACGATGGCGATACTTGTGCCCACGAAGAAGAAATCCAAATCAAAGCAACCAACGACGAAAATGACTGACAACGAGAGACCAAGAACAATAAAGAACTACTCCAAAAACACTCCAAGAATGCTCTAAATAAACAACGAGAAACCACAGAAGAAGAGTCACACGTTGACAAAATCAGTCAACCGTGGACAGAAGAAATCCACACCTGAAAGGTTGAGTTGTGACCAAAGAGAATCGAAAATTCAACCACTCCAAAGAAACGACGAGAAACTACGAGAACTCACACTCCCCAAGAAGAATTTCACGATGTGCGCCGACACACGCCAAAACACCGGCTAAAAAATTACGAGATGTAAATTTCAAATTTCGGATACCCCGAACCAATACTAAACCAAATTCCAGATAAACTGGATCAAATTCCAGATGACCTGGACCAAATTCCAGAGAACCTGGACCAAATTCCAGATGAACTGGACATGTATTAAATCAAATTCCAGATAAACTGGACATACAAAAAGCTGAAGAAACTCCAAATGTTAGCCAAAAGATTGAAATAGTGACCAACAATCCACTGAATCCAATCCAAATAAACGAATTCCAACTGGACCCAAAGTCACACAGGGACCTCATGATTGAAGAGCGAGATTGAGGACTTCAACTCAACCTCCAACAGCCCATGAAAAACAAACCACAATTAAATCAGATCAATTAAATAATTGGTCCAATCCAACAGCCCGCTAACTTGCTCAATAATTCTAGTAGGCCCAATAAAATAAAATAAAACACTGCCTAATTACTTCAGTGGCCCACATCAATAGGCCCACTTCAAAAGACAATTAAAACACCACAGCCCACTTTTAATTAACAAACCAATGCATAGGCCCAATTTCGCAAAATACCTAATTAGCCCAAACCTAATGCCAAAACAACCCATAAGCTAGCCATTAATGTAAATATTCAAACTATAAATCCAGGCCCAACCACATAAATCAACCCAAACCATAAATCTTAGCACATACACGGCTTCACAGATCTAGCATATCCCGCTTTTGGAAGGACCCGAACAGATCTTGGCCGTAGCCGATGTCCACTTGTTCGTGATGGAAGATAAGGCCAGGAGGGTAGCCATGTGAAGCCATCAAGCAAATCTCAACCATTTCCGAAACTCAGATTCAAAAAACCCTTAAAAATTTTTTTTTTTTTTAAAACCCCCAGATTTTTAATCGAAAATTAGGGCCCCTCTTTAGAAGGAAAGGTCAGAACTAAAACTGGGTTGTACTTGTCAGAGCACAAGCAAGTTGAGTAAGCAATCAATGCTGGTCCCTTTCTTCAAGAGAAGGAGAAGAGGAGCAAGTGCGAAGTCAGTGCTTGAAACTGTAAAAAAAACTGCACCTCTTGACAGTCCTTTTTGCATTTGAAAGTCTTCTGTCCATAATGGCCGATAGGAAGCACAACGGAAAAACTGCGAATTTTTTTTTATTGAAGAAATCGGGTCCTGAACTACCCCAGCTTCTAACCCAATTGTCTGCGAGCATTGCTGGGACTGGTATTGCCGTTCTGTTCTCCGTTGTCTGCAAAGTTGCTTGTGATCGAGTCCCCTTTTGTGCATCCAAACTTTTAAACAACGGTTCCGAACTGAAATCAAACCCACTGCAATTATTGGAGAGGAGTCCAAGCAACGAACTATGAACATACGGTTATTGGAGAGAGAAAATTGAAACGAAGTCAAGAAGTCAGATCCGAAAAGAAAATAATAAAAAAGAAGGAAAACAAAATTGCTAGCCGGACGAGCAGCTCAAGGCCGCTCGCCGGGAACGAAATTCAAGATTAAAGTGTTTAGGATCGTAACAGCTCTGATACCATGTCAAGATATATAAATTGTATTATATTGTCTTGTTAATATTACAATGTAGAAGACCTTATTTATAGGGTTACAAATAACTGTAGAAGGAAATAAAGATAAAAGGAAAGATTACATAATCAACTACTAAGGAAAGTAAACCTACACTAAAAGGAAAGTAAATATAATCTCAAGTTTTGACGATCTCTGTAATCTTATTCAATATCCTTGACACAATTCAATAACAAAAGAAGATGAAAAAAAAAACTAATAGAAGCCATTCAGAATACAAATAAGCAATTAATTACACCAAACAATTCCTGAACACCAGAAAAATATAGAACATTGAATGTGACATTGAGTACTGGTGCATGTACATGTTATATAGACAATTTCCGCTTGCAAGACTTTCTTACTACGTAAAATTATCTGCTTCATTCATAAAGATTCAAATAAAAGTTAAAGGCATGGTTAAATCAACTGTCAAATGACTTCTTTCCTTCTCTTCATGAAGCATAGGACCTATGGATATAGTCCCAAGTGATGGTAGTGGTAGCTTCTTTTTTTAGGGGTAGCCCTTAACTTTCAATAACTAACTTATTTCATTTTTGATCAATAAAAGATATGTTTTTTAAACTTACTCGTTTACTTATAAGTAAAACTGGTAAGCTTAGCCAAACATGCTGGTTTAGGAGTGAGAAATAGAAATAAAAAAGGTCAGACCTTTATGAGAACTGGCTGATCCCTTGGCTGATAGACCCAATCTGGACAGAATGGAGTCAATATCCACGACTGTGTTAGCTTCTAGGAATGATAAATGATGTACAGGAGAGTCAATGTCCACATAAAAACAGATCTCGAGACCTTTAATAACTGCCTTTAAGTGCCTTTGCTGATCTGCTGCATTTTCAATTTGCCACAAAAGCACGGTAGACTATAATACTCAATAACCAAAGAACAAGGATAAAGCTGTGCACTCAATTTCTATGGAATTTGTTACGATTGAACAGGCACGCCAGTTCACAAATGACATGCACTCCGCATTAAACTTGAGCTGTGGTCTAGCATATGTCACTTATAGAAACACAATATACGCTAAAGAATTGAGCTATTAACAGCTGCAAAAATAGATTTTTCACTTCTTAAATGCATATTAAATATCGTTTGGTAATTTAAAATGCCGCAAACTTAGAGTGTGTTTGGTAGAGATTTTTGAGAGAAGAATTGATTTTTGAATAGTGATATGATGGGAAATGTGTGGTTGAAAAAGAAGAAAAAAATATTGATGTAATGAAAAATATTATTTTATTAAAAAGTGTGTGATTGAAAATGAGAATTGATTTATTGTAGAAAATGAGAATCTGTACCAAACATGCTCTTACAGGTGGAACAAATGAAGAAAATCATTGTAAAAATTTCTAAATGTACCAAGTCTAAAAAGCAACAAAATCCATAACAATTATTAGTGTTTTCTTCTTTAATATATAGCAATGTTTCTCAGAAAGATAAATACTGTTGAGACGAGGATATCTATACCAATTCCCACTATATGTTTATCGAAGTATAGTACTAAACAAGAGGGGTAATTGTTGTGTTCTACACCGGTGAAATCAATGGCGTCAGGCGAAATTATTATATGTGCTTAGTGTACCACTTTTTCTTTGAGTGCCCCGCCCAGTTGTTGGCCCACGAAGCATTTGCCTGCTACTCCAGCCACAAGGCAAGTGGACAGAGCACTCATTGTCTTTACTTTTCTCTCTGTTGGACACACCCATAAGGAAGAAGGTTAGATATCTTTGATAGGGTAGTATGTTTGGTCAAAATGGGATTGTGTTCAAACTTCCAAAATACAATTTACGGTAAAGGGCAGTTCCTTATTTTTTGCACAAAGATTTTCTTTACGTGTATGTGCATGTCCATTTTGCATTGCATGCATACAACACACATATATACATGTAGAATGGTTGAAATGGCTTTATGATTCTGTTGGTTTAATCTATTACATATAGACATGCGGATCATGCTTGACATGGTCTTAAATATACAAATCATACATCAATGTGGTCCATGTCAAATTCTTATAGGATTTTCCAGAAAGTTGCACATGTATTATGTCATATCTGTGTCTACAATCATTTTCTGATCAAAGCAATTTATAAATGAAAAATGGAAAAGTAGCACATGATTTAAGTAAAGAAAGAATCATAGCTTGCTCAATAAGTAGAAATCATGCAACCACCAGAATTTAGATTGGCCAGAGCATATATATGTCAACACTGCAATCAAAAATCTCTAACTTGTACAAAGTAACTGAATAAAGCTAAGATAAGCAATTGAGGAAATCTCAGAAGATATGCAGAAATAGAATAACAAGGGTAAAAATGAGGATGGAAAATTCAAAACTATAAAAATATCGTCGTGAAAAGAAAGCAAAGACAACAAGTAACATTCTTCTTACTTAAAGTATAACCAGCTAGAAAGCAAGAGTGAGAAAGATTGATCAGGTACCAATGGCCTATTCCCTGGAGTAGAAAATTCAGAGTTTTTCCCTCTTCCTCAGGTATCTTTTTCTTCTTGTGTCAGTAATTATCATTTCATTTTGAGAGCTCATTGATCATTGTTGTCACAATTTAACAGGATATGTAACCATTCATTTCAACAAATGCTTTCTTTTTAATTCTTATAGGTTATAAATTTCAATGAAGATTGTTTGCAGCTTGCCACTATAGTGTTACAATTTAGTTAATCACAGCCAAAAAGAAAGAGAGTGAATTGATCAAAAGTTGGAGCTTTGTGTCTGTGACGTTGCTCCTTTCATCCTTCCCAACACTTGAAAAGGACTGAAGAAAATATGAGGAAAGACATGGAAAACGTGTTAATCTAAAAGTAGTGTCAGAGCAGTAGGAGAAAAAAAATACTATGGAAATGTTCTTGTTCTATGAAATTAATATAAATTTGTGTTTGACACCCATTTTGGAGAAGAATTTGATTTGGAATAGTGATTGATGGAAGAATGTGTGGTTAAAAAGTAAGTAGAATTTTTGGGTTTATGTGTAATATTATTTTATTGATAGAATGTGTGATTGAAATGAAAAAAGAGTAAAAAAATGAAAAAAAGAATTAGAAAAAAATGGATGTCAAACGAGGGTTAAACTATTATTTTCACTGATACTCTTTTCCACCATTTCTGACATGGAAAAGAGAACAAGCAGTGCCCCATATTGATGCTAAAAGTACATCAAGAGGATCCTAAAAGAGATGCCACTGAAAGAATGATAAGCAAGCAACTCAAAGTACATCAAGAGGAACCTAAAAGAGATACGACTGAAAGATGATAGTTAAGAAAGTAACTCACAGATGAATTAAGCACTGTTTTAATAGTTTCCTTATATTAGTCCAATGCAATCAAAGTCATAAGTTGGAAAGCAAAAAAGGCAGAAGAAAAGTAATATATTATTAGGAAAGATAATCAAAATTGTAGGTGTTGCTGAAACTTACATGGCGCAGAAACATACGGCAGTTAAAGATCAGCTTATGAATGAACCCATTATCAATATCATGTTACAAATGATTTCCCTAAGTTATGAACTTAAATCTTAGCATCTTCTATATCTTTTGATCTTTGACAGGAGACGAATAAACTGCCCCTTTTCCATCATATTTCTTACAATTTCGTGAGCTTCAGACAGCTTTCCTGCATGCCGCAAATAACTGACTAACGTACTGTACACAAGAAAATTTGGATTACAGCCTTTTGATTCCATCTCTTTCAACATCAAGAGAGCCTCTTCAAATTTCCCTATCGTACAAAGCCCTCGGATCATGGAATTATAAGTAAACACATTTGGTAATTGCCCGTTGCTGATCATCTCTGAAAACATCTCCTGAGCCTTATCAATCTCGGCTGATACAACGTAACCTGTTATCATGACAGTGTAACAGACAACATCCGGCGTGAACCCATGCTTTATCATTTCATTGAAGAAATACTGGCAGGCATCCATATTGCCAGCACGACTGAGCCCGTCTATCAATGTGGTGAAGTGGAGAATGCTTGGATGAATACCCACTTCCTTCATGTGATTCAAAAGATTAATTGCTGCCAGAGGCTTGTCTCCTTTACCAAGAACATGGAGAAGGAGATTGAATGTATGAAAATCAGGGGAAAATCCATTCCTGCCCATTTCATCGAGTAATCTGTGAAACTGATCTAGCTTCCCCAACCTAAACTTTGCAGACATAATGATATTATAAGTCAACACATCAGGGGAAAGACCTTCTACTAACATCTGCTGATACACCCACTCAATCAAGCTGTACTGATTAATTGTCAAAAGAGAATGTAAAATTGCATTAAATGAATTCGTAAACGGCCTATAATTAAACGTCTTTGACTTTATAAATCTCTCTACAACTTTTCTAGCTAATCCAGCCTCGCCACAAGTACATATCAATATATTGAAAGTGCGTGCAGTAGTTGGGTACCCTTTTTCAATCATATCATCAACTAATCTCCACATTGCCTTATATTCCTCTGACTCCGCAAATATCTTCATTATCAAGTGGTATGCATTTGCCGTGTGTCTGTAGTTCTCTTGTTCGCCAGACCACACAAAAAACTTGTACCCTAGCTTTGCACACCTGTTTTTGTTTATGTAATTTATTTTTTTCAAGATACCATAGAGAACTTCTCTCACAAGAAGACCCGAAACCCTTATACCTAAATCACTTAAATTAGCTTTCACGTTGAATCCAGGACCATCTTGATGGAGAATTTCAAGAATTCTTGCAGCATCACTTCTCACCTCATCGATGAATTTCTGTTTTCCTGAGAAGTTTGACTGAGAATGGCCCTCAAAATCACCATTAACTATCGAATAACCAATTGAATCAAATAAAGTTGCAGTCTTTTCATCGTCCACATTGTACTCAGAACCCGAACTTTTCCAAGATTCATTAAGAAAATCCTCTACTCTCGCAGACCCAATTTCGACATCATCACCAATAAAACTTTGACTACATACACGACGCAAAAATGTGCAAAAACAAGACAATCCCTTGAAATTTCTTGGACCAGAAAGAGCTACAGAGTACATGACAAAATTATATTAAAAAGGAAAAAACCCATTACACCTGTAGCTCATTTGCACCCAGATATGCGAAGAAGCCCACCAAATGATAACTAAATCCAAGCACAGATACTTCCAACATGTGCAGTTCAACAAATCGAAAACTACCCATTAAATAGAATACTGAGGCACAAGATCATTCATTGGGCATAAAATTATGAGCTATTTGTTGTTTTTGTTAACCGAAGCCCAGATTGAATTGGGCGAGGAACAATCGTGAGGGTTTTAGAGAACGGAAAAGAGACTTTTGAAGTATGTGGAAGGGAAAAGGACTTACCTGGAAATATAAATTTTAGTGTGTCTTTCGTGGTCTTTTCAACTGGCCAGTGATTTTGGGTTCTGCTTCAGGGAAGTGTACGATTCGAACTGGTAAGGATACGAGGAGAGAAGTTCCTATGGAGAATGGTGAAAATCAAATACTGAAATCTCCACTGCGTGAAAAACTTGGGGGATCTGAGAGAAATTTGGCGAAATCTGAACCCCTCTATTTATAAATTAAAAACCTCCCATTTGTTTTTCCATTTTTTATTTTTTGTGCGGATTGTTTCTTAATATTTGGATCTTCAACATTTTAATATTATAATAATTAGACTACAAAGAATGGTTTACGTCCATTTAACCCAAAAAAATGTTTGACTTGAGAAAAATATTTGATTTTGCCGTTTGTACACCATTTTTTAACATCTTTATTGACGGAATCTCATTGATTGCAAAAATAGCTTTTTGTTTAAATTGTCAAATGACACATGATATTCTTTCAACAAAGTTGTATATCAAGATGCACGCAAGCATGAGTGAAAAATATTATGCCCATACTTGGGGAATTAACCATCATCAATGATTATTTTCATATTACACATCTAGTTATAGGTTTGGATTCACAATCCAAATTAGGTTTCACAAGTGTTTACCTTTCCTACTTTACCCCTTTTACAAACGAGCTATACAAGTATTTATAGACAAGCTGTTTTTTGCTTTATGCAATGATTAGGTCTTCCACTATTTTCGAAATTGTCATTGATGAACCTTAAACTAGAAACGATCTTTCCCCACAAATTTTTAGCCTTCAAATAGAGTGGTTTAGAGTTGGAAAATTTTGGGATTCTTGGCAAAGTGCATGGGTCACGTCTTTTAGCCTTCGTCCCCTACCAAAGCACTTTTGTCCAGTTGAAGTGTCCTGATTGCACTAATTTTTGTAGGCACTGCCTAGATGGATTTATCTGCGACTTACGATGTAAGTCACTCTTAATTTTGTTGATTCTTTTCAAATAAAGTATATGCTCACCATTTCATGCAATCTTAAAATATTATTTTTTCCTTTTTGGTGGTTTAGGACGGTTGGTGACTGGTTATGTGATGGTGGCAGCGACGTTGTTACACTTGTAACACATTTATTTTTGTAAGGGAATCAAAGGGTTTCACCTCTCTCCAGAAAAGAGGTTTGAATTCATGTCATTTGCTTTGTAAGAATTCGCTTCTTGACATAGGCCTTACTTGTAAAATATTGTATTACAATGGTTGGTAGAGGTGGGCGACGGTGATTGCAATGTAACACAATGTATTACAAGTTATGACGGTGGAAGAATGTGCATATCAAAGTTCGTAGCGTTTCAATAATATAACACTTCTTGTTAAAACAAAAAACTAAAATATTATTTTGGGAATAAAATAAATTGAATAGTAATATGAAAAATAATTTTTTAGATAAACCGTGAAACTTTCTCCACATATAGCCCATATTTGGTTCCATTAAAAAAGTGGATTTAAATTCAAATAAAAGTCAGTACTTAATTTCAAGTACACATATCAAGTGATTCATAACTTTTCAACCACACATTTCATCAATTTTATTCAAAATCTATTTAAAATATGATTTTTATAAAATGGACTTCTTCTACTATTCTTATTTGCTATCGTTTAGAAAATTTATAAATAGTTTATAAGGAAGAATAACAAAGAGTCCAATGAAATATATAAATAATTATAAGTACTATTATATATGTGCTATTGAAACTAATGTTGAAATTTTATTGAATTTATAAATCATTTACAATTTTTTTTATTCAAACGGAGGTTACCCTCGATTTGAGAAAAAAAATTATCAATAAATAGATGGTGAATAAATGGATAATAGTTATGGGTAAATGTGCAATTGAAAATGAAAATTGAACATTTATAAATAATTTATAAATTTTGCAACTGAGGCAAATTTTTTCACCTTTAACACTTCTTTTGAAATTTAAAAGCGTACCACCAGTCAAATTTGGATAAAACTAGGTTTCTGTATTTGGATTATACTTCTATGACAAATCATAATCATCCACAATAGGACATGTGGACTTGAACTGGAAACTAGCATTAGAATTGTAAGAATGAAGTCTAAAACAAATAGGATTACAATTTAACTATTAATCTATATCAAAATAAATATAGGATAACAATTAATATTTTTCCTAAGAAACGTGGCTGCCACAAATACATTAAATCCTAAACTTAAACTAATTACCAATTAAAGATGAATATTTTTTTTTTTTTAAACTTCAATATCTTAATCCTAACTTATCCAAATTATTTTTTTCTCGGATCTAGGTGCATCATTTAATACGAACTATTCAACGAGCCCAATATCAATATGCTTATATTTGGGGTACTTACAAAAATACCCTTAAAATTAGGGATATTTTGAAAAATCATATTAAAAGTTTTTAGGAAGTAAAAAATAATAAAAAAAGTGACACAGTGTTACTTTTTTTTTATAAAATTGTCACTTTTTCACTTTTTTTAAAAATTACACAAATTCAAAAAAAGTGACAAATACAAAAATAACGGCATCCATTTGTGCAGCACCACTAATCATATTCTTAAAATAATCACTACATTCAAGCCAATCCACATGCTGATTATGTTAGGAAAATATAACATACTATTTCATTTTTTTATCTTCTTAAATAGTGACAAAAACTTAAAAGGTGACAAAAAAAAGTGACACTCAAAAAAGTGACGAAAATTTTTAAAAAGTGACAAATTTTAAAAAAAAGACAAACAATAAAAAAGGTGATAAACACTCAAAAAGCGACAAAATTAAAAAAAAAAAGTGACAAACTTAAAAAAGTGACGAAAATTTTTAAAAAAAATGACAAACACTCAAAATTAGTTCTTGTGAAACTCAATAATCCAATCATATACTGTGATGGTTCTTTTATAAGTTTGAAATCAAGAAATTGTGAAAACCCCCAGTTTTCAATGATAAATAAGTAATTTGATATCGCACAGAAGTGATTTTAAGCCATAAGTCTCTGAACCACTATTTGAAGTTTCGACCCCTTGTTTCCACTTTGGAAGTTACAGAAAAGAAACACAAGGTAAAAGAAAAGAAATTAACTAATTTTCATGAACAGATAACATACATGAAAACTAGCATAAAGCAGCAGTGAACAAATGAATTGCTTAATGGTCAGTATTTCCCAGACTCCCTTGTCTAAATTTTTTGCTCTTTCCTTTTGTCTAAAATTCAGTCCTAAAAATTTAATGGAAGATTCTCCCAACTGCAAAGCATAATATACACCAAAAGGCACTCCTCCACACGAATACCTCTGAATCCTACTAGTAATTCATTCCACTTTAAGATATGAACATGTCCCCAGAATGACTCGAATTCGCAGAACTAAATTAGCATTAGAAATAACAAACATTCTTAGGATCCAGGACAATTACCAGAACGAATGATTACATAATCCATGTTTAATCCTTCGAAATTCGTCCCCAATAGATGATTATATCAACTTAATCTCCATCAGACTATTTTAGTTACTACTCCCACTGATTGTTCCAAAAGTTAATCAAGCTTGACTAGAGACAAAATAGTAACAAAGCAGACTTCAAAAAGTAAAGCAAGTTAATTGATTGACGTCAGCTTAGAGGGTACTTAAGCTTCTACGCCAACGCATTTCTTCGGGAAGAGCAAATAAGCCAAATATTGCCATAGGGGTCCTTCACCTTGCCCACGCTCCCGCCGCAGCACGAGTCATCACCCTCGGAGATATCTCCTTCCGTAGTGGTGCCAGAGTTCACGGCCTGGGCTAAGGCAGCTTCGACGTCCTCAATCTCAAGGCAGATCACACCTCCGGTTAGACTTGACCTTAGCAAACAAGTCATCAATGATATCATAACAGCAATAGTGGCGGAGCCAATCTTAAGTTCAACTGAGATAACTAGCGGAATCTCGTGATCAGCCTTCCTCTTGGAGTGCAATGAAGATTGGATTCTAGGTTTAGGACATATTAATTACGGGTTGAATAGTTTAATTAGTTTTAAAAGAGTATTATTCAATTTAGTTAGTTTAAGAGGGCATTTGGCCTAATTTTCCCCTTATATTTACTCTATCAAAATTTAATATTTGGCCTAAATAAAATTAAAATTTAAAACTACTTCACTTTATTCCCCCAACTTCCAAAATTATAGAAATAAAGACATATAGGTCAAGAATCCTCCTCATCAAAGAATTCTATTTTATAAAATTTTCAGGGCGTTGCATGTTTGCTGAAAAGTATTAGTACAATCCGCCTTCGATTCAACTTTTGGTTGGATCTCTTTAAGATTCTCTATCTTTTTGAGTTAGATATGAAAGATTTATCACGATCTATTCTTGTTGCTGAGGGTTAATGAGTCGAGTTGACTCACTCTAGTTCCTACAGATTTCTTGACTCACTCCTGAGTTCTACAGAGTTACTGTGACTTGCTGGGTTCCTTTGCATAATCTTGGATTTTTGTTCGATTCTGACATTTTTCCACTGTTGCCTTCATTCTGGAACTTTAAGTTTTCAGACTCTGGTATAATCTCTCATACACTATTTATATTTCTTTTATTATTAAACTATATATTGTTTAATTTGATTTGGTTATTAAGGTAAGGGAAAAACGAGAAATTCGACCCTACTACACCTAAAGGGGGGTGATTAGGTGTAAAT